ATATATATATAGAGAGAGAGATAACACAAGAAATAAACAGTTAAATTATAAAACACTTATATAGATAGATAGATACATAGAATAGAAATAAACAGTTAAATTATAAAACAATACAAATGGCTCAGTACAATTCAAATGTGTTAGAGAGTTGTGAGACACTCGCAGTCCTTCAAGTCTTGAGGGCCACCTGGTAGTCCTCTGTGGAGAGATTCATATTCCCCTGGCACTGGCAGCCAACAGCAAGGCAAGTCACCAACAGTCAGCCAGGTCACTAACAGTCAGTCCCCAGCTCAAGAGATGTAAATTCCAATTGTGTGGTGAAGCAGGTTTTGAAGGAGCCTCAAATTACAGCGACATAGTCCACAGGTTAGGTGTCCCACAGGTAGTGTAGCTAGTAAATTGAGCCACAGAACAAGCAAGGCAGCTGTACACTGGTCTGATGATCAAAGAGCGAGAGACAAGGAAGGTGAGGCTCACTGAGCCATTTATCTCTCCGCCCTTCAGTTAATCCCACATGTTTTTATCGGCAAGGCTGGCACAATAAACTAACTACCTCATCCCCTTTCCTTTTCTTCCCTGCCCCTACCTTCATAGAATCGTGACTCCCATTACTGGTTCTAAGAAATGGCAGAATTTTATTGAGGATTCTTATAGCTGGAGCAGGATGGAGTTGGTAAAATACCAAATACCCCAAATGCTGTAGGAAGAGAGAGATTTTTAATAGGAGTACTTGCCATGATCCACAAGCTAACCATTCACAATGCCAATTCATCATAGACTTTTAAAATACGATTATATTTAATTGAGTTCTTTTGGTTTTTGTTTTTCATCATTTTATTGGGGGCTCGTACAATGCTTCTCACAATCCATACATACATCCTTTGTGTCCAGCACATTTGCACATTTGCTGCCATCATCATTCTCAAAATATTTGCTTTCTACTTGAGCCCCCGGTATCAGGTCCTCATTTTCCCCCTCTCCTCCTGCTACCCCCTCCTTCATGAACCCTTGATAATTTATAAATTATTATTATTTTGTCATGTCTTACACTACCCGACATCTCACTTCACCCACTTTTCTGTTGTCTGTCCACCAGAGAGGAGGTTATATGTGCATCCTTGTAATCTGTTCCCCATTTCCACCCCACCTTCCCTCCACCCTCCTGCTATCTTCACTCTCACCACTGGTCCAGAGGGGCTTATCTGCCCTGGATTCCCAGTGTTTCCATTTCCTATCTATACCAGTGTACATCCTCTGGTCTAGCCCGATTTGTAAGGTAGAATTGGGATCATGATAGTGGGGGAGGGAGGAGAGGAAGCATTTTAGAACGAGAGGAAAATTTTATGTTGCATCATTGCTACGCTGCACCCTGACAGCCTCATCTCCTCCCCACGACCCTTCTGTAAGGGGATGTCCAGTTGCCCACAGATAGGCTTTGGGCCCTCAAACTGTACTCCCCCTCATTAACAATGATATGCTTTTTCTCCTTGATGCCTGATACCTGATCCCTTATTGACATATTTTACACAATCCAATATATCCATTCACATACCATTGTGTTGTTTAATCCCATTGAGTGGGGTTATAAAATCATCAATGCTATCAGCTGCTCATTTCCCCCTTTATCCCCACTCTCTCTTCCTGTAACCTCAGAGAACCATCACTCACATTACTATTTCTGCAGTTATCTACCTTGCCTTTGATGTGCCGAACAATCTTAAATATACAAACAAACATGCTCAAATATAAAATTATTAATGAGGAAAAACAAAGAATAGCTTTAATAGTGAAAGGAAGAAATCATTTAAAATTAGTGAATAATTATGTGGTTCATCAGTGCCATACAGCACCCTGGATGTATCATTCTTTCTGTGTGGTCCTTCTGAGAGGGACTGTCCAATTACCTTACAGGTGAGTTTGGGGTCTCCATTGCATCCATGCCCCTTCACATGATTCGGTTGTGTATTCCTGAACTTCCGATGCCTCTTCCCACAGACACCTCATGATCTCACAAGCCTGTGTGCTTCTTCCATGTGGGCTTTGTCACTTCCCTTCTAGATGGGTGCTTGTTTTATTACAAGCTTTGAAGACCCCTGGTCGTACATCTTTTGATAGCCAGGCACCATCAGTCAGCTTTCTTCACCACCTTTACTTATCCAGCCTTTTTGTCTTCAGTGATCATGTTAGGAAGGTGAGAATCATACAATGCCAAATTATTAGAACAAAGTGTTCTTGTACTGAGG